ACATGTGGAACGGAAGCCTCCTCTGAACTTGAAGTTTTATGTGTGGTGTGAGGTAAGGGTCAAGAGTCCTCTTCTCCCCGTAAGGCTACCTAGCTGACCTGGAAGAACTTGCCGAAAAAGACTGTGCTTTCCTCAGTGTTCCATGGTGCCACCTTGTCAAAAATCAAGTGTCTACACACATGCGTGTGTTTCCAGACATTTGATTCCGCTCCATTTATCTGTGAGTTTAGCCTTGTGCCACCACTACACTGCCTTTAATCACTTACAGTAGCTTTATGATAAATATTGATTTCTCGTAGTTTAATTCCTCCAAATTTATTTATCTTATTCAGAAATGCCTTCACTATTTTTATTGTTTATTTTATGATTATCTTTTAAGTGTTTATTTTATTTTTGAGAGAGAGAGAGAGAAAGACAGAGGATCTGAAGCGGGCTCTGAGCCAATAGCAGAGAGCCTGATGTGGGGTTCAAACTCACAAATGGTGAGATCATGTCCTGAGCTGAAGTCAGATGCTTAACCAACTGAGCCACCCAGGTGCCCTGCCTTAACTATTTTTAATCCTTTGCTTTATGGAACCAGAAATCCTGTGAGGTAAAGTAGTTAGGATTTGCATCACCACTGCACAGATCTGTAAACTCAGAGAAATAATTTGCCCAGGGTCATGGAACTACCAATGATGGGAAGGGATTAGAACCCAGATTTGTCTGATTCTAGACCCAACTATTTCAAGTCCTTCATATACCGCCTCCTTAATCTTCAAGCCAGATGATCCCTTCGGGGCATTTAATATGAACGCATTACAATTTCAAGAAATTCCGATGTTCTAGGCCGTCCCATTTCCAGTTAAAAATCTTGTGGGGCAAGTACAAAAAGCCCCTTTCCCGGTGAGACTCAGGAAAACAGAGCAACAAGGGTAAGGAGCTGCTTAGATTCCTTCCAGAGACTTGTCTGTCTTCAGAGTAGCAATCACGCCCCTCACGTGGACTCCTCGGGGCCCTCAGGCCTGGCTCCCCTCCACCTCTCTGGCTTTACTGTCCTCCGTCCCTGACTCTTAAGCCACACTCAACTACTTACGTCCTCCTACTAAGCCAAGGTCTTTCACAAAGCTAGACCTTGCTCAGAATGCCCACCTCCCACCCCTGGCTACCTCCTCCTTTCTCTGTGAAACCTGGGTATCACTCCCCTTGGGAGGCCTTCCGGACCTCATCTGAATTGGGCACTCCTCCTCCTCTGTGTCCCTCTCCTAGCATGTCACTCTGTCCCAGAGCTCAGCTGCCTGTTTCTCCAACTGGACGGTGAGGCAATTGAGGCTGGGCCGGCATTGTTAACGGTGCTCTGCAATTTACACACTGGCTAACAGAACAGACGTTTGCTACAAAGTCTGAGCACAGAGACAGACTCTCTTGCTAGGTGCTGTCGTGAAACAATAGACTCTAGAAGGAAGCACAAGAGAAACGATTTCTAACACGTCCAGAATGCACTCTGGTACAAGTGGCAGATCAGGAGACTTAGGGAAGAGATGGATGTGCCTCCTGGGGTGGGTGGCATTTAAATGAGGCAGAAATAGGACTGAGCGACAGGAGTGTCAGGTATTGGGGCACGTGGGTGTGGCTCAGTCGGTTAAGCGTCCGACTTCAGCTCAGGACATGATCTCGCGGTTCGTGAGTTCGAGCCCCGCGTCGGGCTCTGTGCTAACAGCACGGAGCCTGGAGTCGGCAACCTGCTTCAGATTGTGTCTCCCGTCTCCCCCCTCTCTGTCCCTTCCCTGTTCGCACTCTGTCTCTCTCTCAAAAATAAATAAACATTAAAAAAAAAAAAGGAAGAAGAAGCGTCGGGTATTAAATGGCCGCATACAGTAAGGCAAAGCCGTGACTCACTAAGACTTTAGGAGAAGTAAAATATCCCCATAAAGAACACTATTAAACTAACAACAAGGCAGGCAGGTTCTTCTGAGATGTACTCACGCCACAAACTGAGAGTCCGGTTCTAAGGGTAGCTGTTTCCCTCACCAACTGTGCAAGTGGTGGTTTAAGGGCAGGCAGGGGCAGGAATATATTAGCAAAGGAGGAGGCTCTCCAATCGGGACGTTTTCGAGACAATGCGACATGACGCTCCATTTGCGTGGAAGGAGAGACCACCTCTAGGTCTTACCCAAGCTCTGTAATCCTCAGGCTGCTGGAGGCTTCCCGTCCTTGGTGCCAGCCCAAGGCAGTACGGCCCAGACTGTGAAGTCTCTGAGAACTTCCAGGCTAAGTAAAAGCTCACTGGCTTTTTCTCGTTAAGACTATAAATTTGATTTTCACAAACATCTTCCCCAGGAACACCAAGCTGAGCCTCTTTCACCAGCAGCAAAATAGAGAAAAGGAAAAACTGCAAGATGTCCAACACAGGCTTTCCTTATTTTCTCAGTTAATTCCCATTTTTATGGTCACTTTATCCACTGAAGGGCAGAGAAGGTAAAAGCCTCTTGGAGAAGGGAAAACTGGTCTCGTCCTCCACATTCTTCCTGGTTTTTTTCACTGGCTTAGCTGTACTCAAAACAAGGGCTTACTTTTCTTTCTTTCAGAAACGCAGAATCTAGGACATCGCAGGGTTGTGGATGTATGCAGGATTGATAATCTTCCGGCATGGGAAACACTCTTAATTGGCTATTTGTTTTTTAATCGGGAGGGCTATTGACATTTGGGCAGCTTAGGTGATTTAAGAAAATCTTCAAATAAGGAAAGCTTCTGTCTCTAACTTGTACCTCATGTTAGAAATAGGCTTTCAGCAAACAAATGTCAGAGAGTAGGCATTCATGCTAACAGCTAGGTGCTTCTGATCCAAACCTATGAACCCCCAGAAGGGATTGCTACATGGGCTGCAAATACAAATGACTGATTCACTTTCTGCCCAGATATGAAAATCTATTCGTAACAATTTCCTGTTTGGGCCAGGGAAGTGGCCACTGGGAAGAACAAACAGAAAGTTGGCTGGGAATCCATAAAGCTCCACTGATCCTTTCTCTCTCACGTTGCTGCGGGGGGAGCACCAGGACGGCAGGGTCACAAAGGATGCTCCACATGCCTGTGTGGCACAGGGCAAAAGCTCAGTGTCAGCTGATGGCTGGGAGATCGACGTGAAGATCCTCACCGGGTTCAGGAGGCCGTTGGATGCGGATGGTTGGGGCTGGGTTCGTGTTAGCGAAATGAACTCCATGTGGCCGAGACCGCAGTGCCCAGCTGGGCTGGGTATTTGCGAAATAAGAGCGGGGACTGGCTGCCAATTCTAAACAGGCTCTTCTGAGAGGAATGGCAAGCTGCTGTGGGGGGCCAGCCACACCCTCACCCCTCAGTAGGCAAGGGGACCCTGGGACACCTGAGCCACAACCGCTTAGTGATTTAAAGGGGGGGAGAAAACCTGCTTGGTAACTCTAGCTGCTGAACAGAAATGACTTTCTGAAGCCAGAAGTGCCACCTGTAAAGGGACTCCGGGGGTCACGGCAGGGAAGGAGGGCTGTCGGGCACCAGGCTTGTGTGTGAAGGACCCACATGGAACAGCAACAGGACGAGGTCTGCCTCGGTGGCTCCGTAACATGGAAGAAGAAAGAGCACGTTCCCAAGACAGAGGCAGTTGCTGCTTAAGGATGGAGAGGCCTCTGTATTCGTTCTCAGTGAAAAGCTCATTTTAAGTATTTAAGGTTTGCCGAAGCCCCAGGTTTTTCCCATTTGTTTTCAAAGGAGTAGTGCCCTTCCGTTCCAATACATGAGAAGTGACAGCATGCCTATTTTCAGGGACGTACATCAGATATAGAGAAGAGCTTCAGATTTGCAAACTGTGTTGTACAGGAAGAGGGACATAAGACTGTCGATATGGGTTAGGTGACAGAGATTCTTTTCCCTATGATTTAATGTACGTTCCAAGTTTTGAATCACAGGCCAAGGATGGGCCTGTTCTCCGCTGTGCCTACAGACGGACGGAAGTACATCGGCATGACCGTGCCAGGACCGTGTCCGGCACTCCTGAGTTTTTGTCCCTGCCGTCCTCTCCGACACCTCCTTGTCAAATGCCACGTGCGAGGAGCCAATACGGGCCCACTTGTGGAAGAAGGAAGTACGTAAGAAGAAAGATGACTGAGCAAATCCTGTGGATACAAACCACAAAGCCTTTTTTTGCTTCCTAAGATGCTAACTCTTTCTATTTCTAGAGCCCTTCTAAGTTGGAGATTTTCCACCGTGACAGTGTTAGATCTAGGCGGAACGAGGGTTTTGTAAAACATCATTCTCTGAGTGATGATCAGAGAAAGGAATAACCAGCCTTGTTAAGAGCACACTCATCAGGATGCCAAAATATACCAGATCCTCATATAAACAGCATGGATTACATTAACAGGCCTCCCTGGGTGAGCGGGAGTCGTATTCCCAATTCTCTTTGCCTACCTTACGCTCACCCCACGGTTATGTAACCTTTAGAACGGAATTTGGAAATTCTTCCGACCCTGCCCTGCTCGCTGATAGAGCTGAGCCAGTGGCTGGCAGGGGCATAATCTACCAGGCGAAATTGGAAACACACAAATTCATAGTCCTCTTGTCCCAGCCCAGAGACTGTGCAGGCAAGGAAAGAAAGACTCGCCCCTGTGTCCCTCCTCCCCTCTGGCCTAAGTTTACGCTGACTTCACCCAACAGGCACCTGACCCTCCCAGATGAGCTGGGAGGGGCTAAGGCACCATGCACGGCCACAGTGGGGGTGGAGGTGCAGGCAGCAAACAATATTTAAGATGCTGAGTTTGTAGAGCGTTCAGGCTTGGGAAGAAAGGTACAGGGAGCCCAGTTAGGCTGCACTTTTAAACCCAAGCTTTGAGAAAGGCTAAGAAAGAGCAAGGGAGGACAGAAAGCAACAGGGTGGTGAGCCCATCCGGAGTGAAAGTGCACAGTTGTAATTTGCTGCAGCTTTGCAGACCTCAGCCGGGCATATCCAGATCCCCCAAAGGAAGATCCTTCCCCACCCAGGCCCACGAAAGATGCTGAAAAAGACTCTCTCAGCTATGACCTGGCTCTGCATTTTCATCACGGCCTTTGTCAGCCACCCAGCGTGGCCACAGAAGCCCCCGAAGCGCAAGACACCCGCGCAGCTCAAGGCGGCCGCCTGCTGTGAGGAGGCGAAGGAGCTCAGGGCCCAGATTGCCAATCTGAGCAGTCTGCTGAGCGAACTGAGCGAGAAGCAGGAGAGGGACTGGGTCAGCGTGGTCATGCAGGTGATGGAGCTGGAGAGCAGCACCAAGCGCATGGAGTCACGGCTCACAGACGCGGAGAGCAAGTACTCGGAAATGAACAACCAGATTGACATTATGCAGCTACAGGCAGCACAGACTGTCACCCAGACCTCGGCAGGTAAGGAGAACGTGTCCTCACGCTACTTGCCACCTTCTCGTTCAAACACCGGAGCGTCTCTGTGTGGCATGGTTTCTAGATGGCTTGGCCATCAGAATGATGACTGGGGGGTTCTTTGGGGGTGTATTTTCCTGGGTACGTGCCACCGGCTCTAATGTTCTGTAAATTTCTGTCAATTTCCCCAATGTCTGCACAGTCTCTTTACTCACACCATGATTCAGCATAAGGAAGGTATGAATCCCCATCCCGGAGCGCACAGGGACAACGTGGTTTGCCCAGAGTCACATCGCAAGCCTTAGAAACAGGGTTTAAGTCTCCCTGATGGGTTCGCTTCCTCACCCAGAGCCGACAGGCTGTACCCACAGTCCTAAGGAAGCAGGATTGAGCACCAAAACTGTAACATCTATCGTTGTAGGAACCAAGTTTTGCCAAAAACAGTTCTCCTGTGTCCCTAAGATTTAGTGGAATGGGCATTAATGGGTTTTTGTGTCCTGTCTCTGCAAACCTGACTCTGCCCACTGGCTCAGAATTAGGTATAGATGCTGCCTAGAGCCAGAAGAAGAATTCCTTTGGGTCAGGAAGGAGAGGCTCGAGGTTCCTCACTTCTGAGATTTCTATTTTCCCCCAGGATCTCAAATAAAATTCTCCCATTATAGCAAATAAGAAAATGCAATGCTGAAATCTGGATTTTTGGAAGCCCCCCACGTAAGATACATCCAATGCTTTCTTTCTTAAAATAACTTCTGGTTTCTAGTTAGGTTGGCTCAGACCGGCTAAGGTGAATTTATTGCTCAGAGAGAAGAAACTGGGGTTTCTGAGATCATCAGGAAATCGTTACTTGTCAGGCGAATATCCTACAGATATGTCATTTATTACTGATGTAAAAACTTTCGGTCACATCATAGACCAAGTCAAGAAATAGAAGAGAGTGAGTCACTGATGACTCTCAGTTCAAACGGAGAAAAAGCTGTAACGTGAAATAAGCTTAAATGGCCCGTTACCCAATAAACCACCATGTGAAAATCACTTCCTAAGCATGTACTTCCTGCCCCTCAGTGTGGGACTAGAAAGGTATCCTCAGGACATTTTCCAGACAAGCGCGTCCCGATTTGGCCTGGCGCGGCAGAGCAGGCCAGGCGGGACTCTGATTGTGCCGCCTCCTACTCCTCCAACTGGGGTTTTCTCCCCTCCCAGCAGGGAGCTTCTTGGGGGTCAAAGGCAGCTCTCCTGCTGGGCCTCCTACTCTTCTTGCCCAGGACATCCTTCCTCCGTTTTCTTCTCGATTGCCAGCTGCGGGGTCACCTTTAGACTCTCTAAGCAGGTAGCTCATCGGAGAAAGCAGTAAGTTGACGCTCTCCTCAGTAACAGAAAATGAAGGACGCTGATGGTGAAGGCACACATCTCCCCCTCCCTCAATGTGCTCTGCCTGGGACAGTTCCTGGTGGCAGTGAGCGTCTCTCGAAGGGCTCTTCTCGAAGGCCCAGCGCAGGGGCCTCCGAGAAAAGAACCCCAGAGACAGGGGACAGGAAGCGTCTCCTGGACAGCAAGAGTTCCCGCTCTTTGAATCCCATCAGGAAAGGCGGTTTCTTTGATATTTGAGACCTGGAGACAAAATCTGGCACAAGGCTGTAGCCCCAAGATGGCCAAGGAAGCGTTTAAATCAACCCCAGGGTGAACACCAGCCTGTTCGATGCTCTGGTTTGCTTGTTTTAATAATGCTGCCAGGGGAGGCCTCCATGGGTTCCTCAGGGTGTTTGCACTTCCGTTTGAGGAATGAGCAGGTGTTAGACGAAGCAGCGGGGGGCGCGGTGGGGGGGGTGGTTCGGGGAAGAAGATGTTAAATTGATCTCCCTTAATTAGGGTCCTTGTAGGCAATCTAGACAAAAATAGCCATTCTCAAAGGTAGAAATAGCCATTCCCTCTGAAAAACCACCCCCACCCCCAAATAAACCAAGAAAACAACAAAATCAGACCCTATGAGATGCTCATAACGTACATGGTAAGAGAGGCTAGCGGTCCCAGAAGTGGAATTTATTAAACAGGCGCATCTATTACGTGGCCCTCGCACACTGTAATGTCCCCAGAGATCGTGGCCTAGAAGAAGCAGGATGATCTGTTTCAGAGTTAACCTGAAACCACCTGTTTGATGGTCCCATTGATGCTGCTATCCAGGTGAGGGCTTCCCCACCACCAATGAAGCCAAAAGACACCTCCTTTTGGTCTCCCAATGGCCACACCCCTCCAAAACCCAGACCCTGCCTAGTAATGAACACTCGTGTGAATTGCGTGGTAGAAATGAGATCTCAGTTTTTAAACTTTCAATGGAGACGGAGCACGAATGCCCACCTGCCGTGGAGCCCCTGGGTTTGGATGCTCACTCCTGCGGTTTGCTCCTATTACAGACGCCATCTATGACTGCTCGTCCCTCTACCAGAAGAACTACCGCATCTCTGGGGTGTACAAGCTTCCTCCCGATGACTTTCTGGGCAGCCCTGAGCTGGAGGTGAGGTCACCAGAGCCCACGGCCCAGGTGCTACCATCGGTCCTCTGCCCCCTCACAGGGCTGGGGGCAACAGGACTAACCATGGTCTAGAGAATGGGAAACTCAAGACAGAGAATCAGACACACCGAGTACCAGAGAGCTATCCACACACACGCTCAGTTTGTGGGGGGGGGACCCCTCCCCCGGCATCTCTTTTGCCCCTTCAAATCATTACTGACCAAACACCAAATCTTCCGACACAGACAATTCTATAACCTCCACCCGACTTGTTGACATCTCTTGCCACGACCCAGAGCAGTTATTCTTGGGGGAAGGAGATGAGAGAGAACACGTAGAGAGCACACATGGATTTTCTTCTCTTCCAACCATACGTGCGCTTGCCCCCCTCCTCAATTTTGACAATTCTTCCTTAGCAAGCCACTGCCCCACTCCTGCTCGCTGACACTGGGGTAGAGTCGTAGTGAGCCCGCACACATCCACTGGCCCTGCGGCAATGGGAGGGAGGCGACGAGGCCCGCCCTCGGGCTCCTCTGCCTGCCTCTGTGGGTCCCTGACCAGAGCATCCTCTCTGCCACAGGTGTTCTGTGACATGGAGACGTCAGGCGGCGGCTGGACCACCATCCAGAGACGAAAGAGTGGCCTCGTCTCCTTCTTCCGGGACTGGAAGCAGTACAAGCAGGGCTTTGGCAGCATCCGTGGGGACTTCTGGCTGGGCAACGAACACATCCACCGGCTCTCCAGACGGCCAACCCGGCTGCGTGTGGAGATGGAGGTGAGCACAAGGCCCCTAGGACTGGAGCAGGTGCCACACACAACTGTGCACGACTCTGGGGGCGCCCTTTCCACTCTTACTGACTACAGGCTTGTGTGCTTATTACGGCGGTTTTCCTGCAGGCTGTAGTGCAGTTGAGAAGAGAGTTTTTCCTATTTGCTCCCAAAAGCGAGGCTGCAGATACACAAGAGGCTGGACTCGGGCCAGAGCGGGGGGATCCAACAGTCAGCTGTGCTGACACACTACAGTCCCCACTCGGGCCTGGGGCTTGAGCTCCTCTATGTGCAAACCTTATCGACACTGACTGGTGACGGTCGTGAAGGGAATGGAGGCCCCGCTACCTTCTCCAGTGACTCTGAGTGGGACACAGAGAGACACACACCCACACCTCACAGACAGAGAGGGACAGGAAGGATGCAGAAAGAGGGGCTAATCCAGGCCAGATGGTGACTCAGGAGCGAGCCTTGCTCTGGGACTCTTGTTTTGTGACTCCCAAGCCTAGTGTGGTAGCTAGAGGCAAACAAGTGATAAAGCCTCGCTGGGCCCCCGCGCAAACAGACAGATGGACGTGTGGCTGCGAGCCGAGAGAGGGAAGGCCGGTGGCGTGGCGGGAAACACAGCCCCCGCGCTGCTTCTCTAAGGTCCACCTGCTCCCCAACAGGACTGGGAGGGCAACCTGCGCCACGCCGAGTACAGCCGCTTTGCTCTGGGCAACGAACTGAACAGCTACCGCCTCTTCCTGGGGAACTACAGCGGCAACGTGGGGAACGATGCCCTCCTCTACCACAACAACACGGCCTTCAGCACCAAGGACAAGGACAACGACAACTGCCTGGACAAGTGTGCACAGCTCCGCAAAGGTGAGGTGGGGGGGCTCGGGGGCTGGTCCCAGCGGGGAAGGACCAATTTAAAGCCGGATTTAGAGCCGCATGGCCCGGCGTTCTGGCTTTGGCACTTCTGACTGCGGAGCTACGGTTCAAACGGCAGCTCCGCCAAGCCTCCTGTCCCGTGTGTCCGCCGTTTCCGAGGCGGGGACGAACCGGGCTCACGGCCCCGATCTCTCTCTTGGGCCAGGTGGGTACTGGTACAACTGCTGCACAGACTCCAACCTCAACGGGGTCTACTACCGCCTCGGGGACCACAACAAGCACCTGGACGGCATCACGTGGTACGGCTGGCACGGCTCGAGCTACTCCCTCAGGCGCGTGGAGATGAAAATCCGCCCGGAAGACTTCCAGCCCTGAGTGCAGGCCTGCCCGGGGGGGGGGGGGGGGGGGGGGGGGGGGCACGGCCAGGGAAATGGGGACAATCGGAGGCTGCGTGAGGGCAGGGAAGGGGAGGAAGGGAGTGCAGAAAGGGTAGGGACGGAAAATGGCCTAGAATCTCCAACGAGAGTCTGTCTCTAGGGAGCACAATAAAACTGAGAGGACAAGGACGTTACATAAATGGGATGAATTATTTAAACACGATGGGCCATCACACAACTTCCCAGGGGCCTGGCCCGAGTGGGCTCTCTGTGCCTGTGATCCCTGACATATTCACTCAAAGCCTCTCCTTTCCACTTGATTTTTCTGTGAAAGAAAAGTAATTGTGACATCACTGTATCTATTTAGTTGAAGGTCTAGGTTATGTGAGGGGAGAAAATAGACCCCTTTACTAAAAAGAATCATGTGATTTTGATCTTCAAGGAGAGGCCCTGGGTGATGGAGGAAGGCATAAAAGAGAGGAGTGGCGGGGGAAAGAAGTTTCGGGTTTTAAATCCAATCCAATGAAATTACCTTCGGTCTACACATTTTTTCTTTAAAGGCAAAAATTATTCTGCTGGCAGTGGATTGACCCAGGAGGGATCTCCAGGGTCCCGGGCCTGGCGGCAGGCCTCTGCCCCCTCCCTGCTCAACGTCAATCAGGGTGCAGTGTGCTGAAAGGCAGAAGTGGGTCTAGTGGCGGCTGGGGAGTTCCAGTAGGAGGTGGGGAAAGTCCCTCGTGGATGCCTCACAAAACTGCCTTAAGATATTCAGTCAGTACAGATATATTGGTTTTTATTTTTTACTTTGTAAGAAAAGGGCTCAAAGAGCTTCCTCTTTTGCCTATAAAAGTGGCTGCAAAATGAAGGTAGATGACACTATGGTTAATGATTCATGCTGTTCATAAGCATTTTGCTTTGTAAAAATACAACACTGTAGGATGTTGTGAACATCTGAAGTTTCCTTTTCCTTCCACAATAAATTCTTTTAAAACGTGCTGGTTTTTAAATTACCACCATTACCATTCAGAGCAAGGTAAAAAGCTTAAGGGAAAGACCAGAGGGTGAGCAGTGAGAAAGAGACTGATTTTGTTACAGTCTTTAGGGAAGCCAAAAAGTGAAAAGGCAGGGGCCGACAAGGGCAGCAGCCGCGGGGAGAGGTCGGATCTAGCCACCTAATCACCACGGAGCCCAATGCCACCGCCTGGCTTCAAAATACTTTGCAAACCAACACTCCTACTTTCTTTCTCCTTGAGCAAACTAACACAGAGAGGGGGCATGTCTTCAGCCGTAACAGATGCTAAATTCATTTTGAGTGGTAGGAAGTCATTTTTCCTTGCCAAAAAGAACCATTCCCTTGAGCCAGTCAGTGTAAGGTGAGCCATTACTCCTACTCAGTGTTCCCTATTGTACCTATAGTTCTTGGGCTGCTGGGAGCCTATTTAATCTTAAAAACAAGAACGCGGGGATTTTCCAAGGAACAGAGTGAGCACAGAAGAGGTGCGCTGCAGCAGGGCATTCCCCAGGACAGGCATTCAAACAAACTCCCCGAGGCAGGCGGGGAGTCTGAGGTGCCAGCAGCCGGCGCAATACTGCCTGGAAAGTGAGGATAAAAAGATCAGGGGGTTAAGAGAAGAGCAGGAAAAGCGTAAACGCCTCTGGCAGAAGTAGCTAATAATTCTCTCTCTCATCTCCTCTAACCCCACAACTAAAAAAACATCTGAAGCTCTAGGCACCAAAGGCTAAAATCAATAAGTGGGCTCACCTAGAACTAAAAAGCTTCTGCACAGCAAAGAAGCAATACGTTGAAAAGACAACCTGCAGTATGGGAGAAATGATTTGCCATCTATAGCCCCTCGTGAGGAGTTAATATCAAAATATATAAAGGAATCATACGACTTAATAGCAAAAAAGTAAATATTCCCAATTAAAAAACGGGCAAAGGTCCTGAATAGACATTTTCCCAAAGAAGACATTCGTGGAATGGCCAATAGGTACGTGAAAAGGTTTTCAACATCACTCATCATCAGGGAAATGCAAACCATCCAATGAGGTATCTTCTCATACCAGGTATGATGGCTGTTATCAAAAAGGCAAGAGACAGCAAGTGTTGATGAGGATGTGGAAAATAGGAAACCCTTGTACATCGTTGGTGGGAATGCAGATGGGGAGATTTTTAAAAATAAAATTACCATATGATCCTGAAATTCCACTTCTGGGTACATATGCAAAGGAAAGGAAATTAGTATCTTGAAAAGATGTCCGTATTCCCATGTCCACTGCAGCATTATTCACAATGGCCAAGACATGGAAACAGCCTAGGTGTCTGGTGACAGATGAGTAGATAAAGACACACACACACACACACACACACACACACACACACACACACAGGAATATCATTCAGCCATATAAAAGAAGGAAACTGCCATTTATGATGACATGGATGAATCTGGAGGGCATTATGCTAAGTGAAATAAGATAGAAAAAGAAAAATACCATATGGTATCCCTTACATGTGGAATCTAAAAAAACAAAACAAAATGAAACAAAAACCATAACCCCCACCTGATTCCACAGAAAGAACAGAACCATGGTTGCCAGGGGGTGCAGAGAGCTGGGGAAATGGGGAGACAGGTTGAAGGGCATAAACTTTCCACTGTAAGATGAGTAGATTCCAAGGATCTCATGCACGACATGGGGACTATAGTCAGTGTTGCACATTTTAAAGTTGCTCAGAGTGGGTTTTAAGTGTCCTTATCACACACACACACGAGTTAACGATGTGAGGTGATGGATGTGTTAATGATCTTGAGCTTGATAAGCATTCCATAATGTGTATCAAGTTATCATGTTGTACATTTTATTTTATTATTATTATTTTTAAGTGTTTATTTATTTGGGGGGGGAGAGAGAGAGAGACAGAGAGAGAGAATCCCAAGCAGGCTCCATGCTGTCAGCACAGAGCTGGATGCGGGACTCAATCCCATGAACCGTGAGATCATGACCTGAGCCAAAACCAAGAGTCGGATGCTTAACCGACTGAACCGCCCAGGCACCTGCCTTCATGTTGTACATTTTCAATATATACAATTATATTTATTAATTATTCCTTAACAAAGTTGGGGTGCAAAGCATCTACACCGTCCTAATCCAAACCTATAGTTGCTAAAACTTACTCCTATTTTTACATGTACACAATTGCGTAAACAGAAGTGTAAATTTTTCGTGACAATGTTAATGTTGGAGGACGCCTCCAGCCACTTAACCTACGGTGCAGATTCTGACCAGGACCACCACTTTCCAAGCACGTCTCCGGGTGCAGCCAGAGGACAGACACCAAGGATTCAGAGAGGAGCCAACACAGTCTCTGGCCCTAAAGAGGACAGAATCACCAGGAACCAAAGGAGAACTCAGTGTCACCCCAGAAAGTAAAGCACATTCTGTTTCATCCTCCACGAGGTATGCTGCTGCACGGCCACCATGGAAGTGCCGGCCCGTTTTTGGTCTTAATTCTGCTAATCTCAGTCAGAAAATTCTTAAAAAATGGGATTACTTGCTAGGGGTTGGGCAGTGATGAAAGCATCCAGCTTGGATCAGACACTTTCTTCTACTTTGGGTGAGAAGCAGGTCCTGTGGACTGAATGTGTGTGTCCCCCCCAAATCCTACGTTGAAGTCAATTCCCAATGTATTCGGAAGCAGGGCCTTTGGTAGGGGATTAGGTCACGAGGGTGGGGTGGCTCACGGATGCAATTAGGGCCCTTATGAAAGAGACCCCAGAGAGCTTGAGCTCTGCTTTCAGCCACGTGAGGACACAGTGAGAAGGTGGCAACGTGGCAACCTGGAAGAGGGTGCCACCAGTGCCCAACCGTGCTGCTCCCTGATTGTGGGCTGCCCAGCCTCCAGAGCCGTGAGAAGTCAAAGCTGATTAAGCCCCCTGGGCCATGGCATTTTGTTACAGCGGCCCGAATGGACTGAAACAGGAAACTGGTACCAAGATGCGGGGTGCTGCTGTACCAAACACCTAGAAATGATGAAGTGGCTCTGGAACAGGGTGATGGGCAGAGGCTGGGAGAGTTTTGGGCTGCGTGCTAGAGAAAGCCCAGACTACCGTGAATGGACTCTCAAAGGCAAATTCTGGTGAAAGCTCAGAAAGAAAAAAAAGAGAAACACAGAGAACGCTTCCGTCTTCTTAGAGAACATGCATAGTTGTGAACAGAATGGTGATAGAAATAGGATGGTAAAGGCCATTCTGACGAGTTCTCCGACGGAAAGGAAGACGCGTTATCGGGGAATAGAGAAAAGGCAATCCTTGTTATAAAGTGGCAAAAATTTTGCCTGAGTTGTGGTCAACGCCGTAGTGTTTGGTGGAAGGCAGAACTTGTGAATGATGACCCTGGGTATTAGCTGAGGAGATTTCTAGGCAAACTGAGGAGGAGTGGCTTGGTTCTTCCTGACTGCTTAGAGTAAAATGAGAGAGGAGAGAAGCAACAGCGAAAAAGGACCCGGGACTTAAAGATTTGGGAAATTCTCAGCCTATCTCTACTGTGAGAAATGAGTGCGTGCATTTGGGGAGAGCACGAAGGGCATGGCCACGTGAGGCTTTGCTCAGGGGACTGGGTGTCATGAACCATGGACCTAATCAGCTACGCCGGCAGGAAAACTACCACACTGAACAGACGGGCAAAGAGACAGGAGGGAATGAAGGAAGGCTGTTGAACTTCCTGGATTTTACAGGACGGGACTGTGGAGCTATTTGGCTGTGAACAAGAAGAGAATGATCCTGAAGTTGATTCAGAGATCAGCAGGGCTGCCTGCTTGTTTTCAAACAGGAGGACCATTGCCTTGCTTTTAACAGGCCCGTGAACTCTGCCCAAAGCTGTGGGGGTAGAGCCACCACTGGGCTGTCTAGCCGGCGGAGCTGTGGGGCCAGGACCTCTGCCCAGCAGGTCCAGAAGGCAGACCGTTACCCAGAGGGCTTGGAGAGCAGAGAATCCAGC